ATTTGGTCAACGCTGACTCACGCTGTCCGGCTTTGGTACCAGGGTGTGACGCACTGCAAATCTAGGGGGCGTTGTCTGTCTGGTCAACATCCAGTGGAGTCGAGGGTCTCGATAGACTTCGGGCATTCAGTGGTTACCTTCAGGAATCTGGCCTTCCTGATAGTTAGGTTATAAAAGCATTGACAATGGCAGTCGAGCTGCCGAGGTTGGGTTCGTACCACACAATTCCTCGCCCTTATGAAATTCTTGCCTTGTATGTGACTTCCCTAGGTGCATTCTGCTCGCCACTCAGAGGTAAAGTAGGATCACAAGAGGAGGATGCAGAATGGCGTTGTCAAATTGCTTCTTCATTTCTCATTTTCACACACCTTCGTTTCACAACTTTCATAAAACGGTAGAAATTGGGTATCTGAGGGGTTCTTAGGTTTTTGACCACCGTTGCTGATGCCGGATGTCTTCGGCGAATTCGCAACAGGTGCAAAACAAACGTTCAGAGAAATCAACTGTGGTGGCTTGATCATGTGTTACATAGCGCCTCAATGTGAACAACGTGTGGCTTGACAGCAGGGTGTGAAAAAGGTTGCGAAGAGTTTAGATGTTCTTGGTGCGGTCTGCCTTACAGTATACGGTCCTCTTTACGACACCTTGCTTGGTCGGATACACCGCGAGAAATGGCGTATAAGCAGATGGACGTGTGGCTTTACGGCTTTACAGCTTTTTGATGTTGCCATCTGTCTGACGATCACGGTCCGTTGATGTCATAGAGTGTCCATGTAAGGCGGATACACTAACTTGCAGTTTTGTGCCTATTTTTAACACCGTTTGTGTGTGTGTGTGTGTGTGTGTGTATCCTTAACTCTTCGGTAACGCCTATGCACTCATTACCCGTTGCTTAAAACGAGTACGCTCAATGCTATCCACACGGCCACACACCTTGCAGTAGATCCAGACGCGTTTGTTCTGGGGATTAGCTATAAGACGTGAACAGAGAATCAACAGAACTCAAGTGGAAGTTCCCACAAGAGCCGAAACTGGCAATACTTCCAGAATCCAGTCTCCATGACATCTCTTTGGCTTAAGGGAAACTATTCACAAGGTTGCTGAAAACTCTTCGACATACCACGACCGGTTTCGCCCTTCCAATTTGGGTTCATCAGGAAGACGCAATCCCAGAGTTTCCGTCAACCCTTTGTTCTACTTGAACCCAATGTTTTCGATAAATACACTCATTTCAGCCACCTTGTGAGTAGTTTTCTTTATGAAAATATGCTGCGATATCTCGAATATCATGCCAACTGAATCATGAGGCTGCCTGTGTGCAGCACATTCAGTTGTATATTATCATAAACGAGAGATTCAGTTGCGCATCGCGTGAAAACCAAATTGATTTGCAATTGAGTGTATTTCTCGAAAACAGTGCAATTTGGGTTCAAGTAGAACATAAGTTTGACGGAAACTCGGGGACTCCGCCAACCTGATGAGCCCAAAGTGGAAGGGTGAAACCGGTCGTGGGCTGTCGAAGAGTTTTCAGCAACCTTTATAAATATATGGAGGCCAGTTTAGAATTTCAGTGAACCAACACGTAATAAATTTAGAACACGTGACATGACAGATTGCATATCCTCTGCATACGATTCAGTGATTCAGGTGAAGAGCGTGGATCAAACTGATGATGAACAGCTTCCAATCGGTGAACTTGTGTTCACCAGGTACAACAAGGAATGGAATTTCGGGTCCGATATTCTCCTCGCAAGGCGGCATTCTGTTCAACACAGTGCTGTTCATTGAGCCCTTTCTATTCAGAATAGAGGATCAGTATAGCTTCCAGGGAAACTCAAGTGGAAAGAGCTCACTTTTAACGACCAACAGTATTTAGAGCACTGCTTATATCAACACAAATTAGTTTGAAGAGTTTGCCTTCGCTGGGGGGACAAAAGTGGTTTCAAAACCCCCTTTGAATATCCTCCCAACGAAATTCTGTAGTTATCGGCTATAAATAAACAACCAGTTTTTTCGTCTGTTCAGTCCTAACTCTTCTCTGTCCAAACGACAAATCGTCCCATACTACTTATATCAAAAGAGGAAAATTTCATTGAATGTCTTCGCAATTGAATTGCAAGGAAGCCTGTATACTGCAGATTATGAGTGGAGTATCACCAGGTTGCTGAATACGAGGAAGTCCATCTAATTCCATCAATTTCATCATGAACATAAAATAAAATTTACTGGTCAAGCGAGGGATTGGTTGAATCGACTTCCGGGGACTTAGCCTGTCTGACGATCCCCAAGCGAACTGAAAACTGTCGTGGTCTGCCAACGGCTTCTGAGAAATAGTCCCATAATATTTATGACAACCAAATCCTGTTTTGTTTGCTCACCTTTTTGTATGTAAGTTGACAACAGTGGTTGCCTAAGGGAATGACCACAAAATGACGAAGAAGCCTGATTGGCTCATTTATAAGAGTTTTGCAACCAATATGGATATGTTTATGGCAAACGATTACTAAAGATGGTAAAGATAACACGGACTCAGGATATTTGAATCTTCGAGTCTTATTCGCGCAGGCCAGTGCAGATGGGACAAATATGGCGGTTTGAGTGGGAAGTTAGCTTTTTCAGGGTTCCTTCCGAACCGGTGATGTCCTGAAAACACCGAGTATTTGAGATACAAGGACCGTATCCAGTAGAAGCTATTGAATGTCAGCTTCACAGACAACGGAGGCCGAGTCCCCATTACACTTGGGGTTCACGAGTGCCGCGTTGAAGTATTCGGTTACTGTCATCGTGGATAGTGTGTGTCCTGCAGAGCAACATCTCACTGGATTATTTCGGGGGGAATCACACATTGTAGTTCCTCCGTAGAAGCCGTGGTAACAAGACGGTGGGTTGGTTGAACAGAACATTCAAGTGTATGCCGAAATAGGGACTAGACGATTCTTTGCACTACCCACCGGCCGTAGATTGCGGCAGTATGAGGAGATATGGAAAAATTTAATGGGTAAACCTTGACTTCTCCGGTTTCCAGCTTGACTTACACGAAGAAATCTTTATTAAAAAGTTCGAAGCATATTGGCACCATGTTGTATCGTGGGTGGCCTGCCAGACTACGCGATAAGAAGACAGAGAACCCTGGACCCTGCTGTACTGGCAGGACAAAACATACAGAGCCTCTGCGTAAATATATGGGATGACTGCAGGGCCAAATAGGGTCGTTCACTTGTTCGATCTGTACAGCCAATGACGGTGTTTCGGCCGTGAGCACACTCAGCCCGACTCCGCTGGTCGTGGAGTTTGTTGGGCTCCGCCAACGCACCTGCTATCCGAAACATGTCGTACCGATGGTGACCTTGGGGATGCGTCATTCTCGTCTGCACGTGTTTTTTTCATGTCCGGGCGCGTCCTGACACTGAACCTGAAACTGGAAATTTCATATGAGATATCGGCAGTCTTAGAGTCAGTGAACACGTGATCACGTGATGTGGATTCGGGCAGACGAATGATGATGCGAGTTTACCAGCCTCTCAAGGTCGAATGTTTAAGTGTTCAAAATCTACCAGCCGGGATGACTTGGGTTAAAACCGCCCTGCAGTTTTGTCAGATGCCCACGGATTGATAGCTAGACAGCCCAACAGTGCTTCTCAGCTTTTCATGTTGATTGGGTCTGACCATGAATACTTTTTCCGTCACCTTGTCAAAAAACCACCTGTTCTCATACAAATTGAGCTAATTCCTGAGTGCTATTCTCCTAGACTTTGCATTTCAGTGGTAATGTACAGAGAGACTTGATAAAACCATAAATGCGCGTGACATTATTGTGAGGGGGAGGTACTTGAAAGGTAAACCGCTTTTTTTCCAGAGCCTACGGCATTCATAGCTTGCCGTTTTCCGATAATGTTGACGGTAAATAAACCCAAGTTAACACCAGTCACGTTCACTTATTAGTTAGCTTAGAGACGTTTTCGGTGTGTCACGAACACGAATGCTCGAAATGAAAAATCCATACTTATTGTTTTATTGGGGAAGTGAACGGGATGTAATTTGGCTGCATAAATCTTCCGAATTGAGCCGTTTGTTCAGAAAGCTTTATCGTACTGTCAGGGTCACGCCCCCCTCTTGTGTGGTCCTAGTGTACTTGATATGGGGACAAATACCGCACCTTAGAGAAGATTCACATTTGAGAGCTACAGGGAGGTGTTATAGCCATCCCTTCACCACATACATAACAATACAGGTCACCGGCAATTTCTAGCTCACGAGATCCGTCTTTTTTTCTTACACTCACAAATCACGCCACACATTCGTGACTTACTTGACTACACAGCTCACAGTCAAGCCAAGACTCGCCCTCTTTCCCCACACGTAGAAATCATGACACACAAGGGTGACTCATCTGACATCGACTATCTACCGTCTGTTAAGGTAGCAACAAGTCATGTACTGACGCCCACACACACACACACAAACATTCCTACATATGGGATAACACCACAGCAACACAACACGACTCAACAGAGCTTCGCACGTCGCCCAACTCGGAGCGGAGCCGCTCAGGACGTTTCACTCACGGATAGTCAGGGGATTTGTATGGCTGCCACAACAGCGAAGAAGACACGAAACCTTGCAACAGGACTTATCGACCTGTATTTGCATATGTTCGCATATATACCTGTTGTAATAATTTTACTCAACAAGCTGATATTGTTAGTGCTCCCCGTTTCCTCGTTCATATAACTAATTTTCGGGTTCTAGTAGAGCATTAACAAAATTAGCTGTACAGTCATTTATGTGGTGAAGGGATGACTACAGTGTCTCTGGAAAGAGCGAAGTAATTTATGATCACGTCAATCAAACTCTACTGCATTTGTGATCGGTAAGCACTGACGGTCAACTGACGTGTCGGGTGTACCGGGTTCGAACCTCGGCACAGTCAAGGATGTTGCACTGTTGATGAGTTCTAACCGGAGAGAACCTCGAGTTCAGAATATGAATCGTGTTGAGACGCGAACAGCAGCGTGAAGGTCACCAAACAACGACAAGCAAATTGCAATACTTCAAAAACAACAAAATCGGTAATTGTGAGGAATATATGTTAGTTACAGCTATTCCAGAGATGGTGAGAACAGTTGGCCACAGCCGCTACGGGCTGTATCCTATCCAAACTTCATGCGTTTTCGGGTCCGGAATAGTCTAGATTAAGGCAACATATGTGAAATTGGTTTGCATTGGAAACGCAATGCCGAGAACAATGTCCAAGTCCCAGATATATCGCTCTCTCTGTGTGTGTGTGTGTCTCACACACGTATCAATGTGGGCGCCGATGAAAGACAATAGAGAAGGAGGAGTAAAAAATAAATGTTGGTCTCCGGGGCAGCGGTCCTTTGCGGTCCAAGTTTCACTTGAATCAATCCGCCTTCTTGCTCTCTTCCCGGAGATTCGCGTACCATTCGCGGTTCGCTTGAATATTGTCCAGTAACTGCCTTGCGTCTGGATGCATCAGATCACTGAGGGTTTCCCAAAGGGGATAGACGATGTAGTCGATGAAACTAACCTGTTTTTTAGGGGTGGAGGGTAGGCCGAAATAGAAACTGGGATAGTATCAACCGTCATTCATGTATATATACATATATGTATGTACAGACAATATAGAGAGTCGACAGATCTTGTAAATGATCGGGTGTGAATACCCAGTCTACCACGTTACTGTCCACGTTCTACGGCAGTTCCACAAGCTTACTTTCGGATCATAACCGTCACTCCCTATTCCCATCATCTAACCGAGCTTTACGAGCTTCCACGTCGCAACGTTTAGAATTATGGATTATCCTTAAGGGTCACAACCACTAAGTTGTCTGAATATTCTCGTCTTCAGATCAGGACAAATCTAATGGTTAAAATAGAGTTAAGTAGTAAAATGGACAGCTAAGATTGGATACTAAATTAGGAAACGCGGAAACACGGACGACTGGAACTCAAGTCTCATCTAGTTGGATGCTCTGAGGTGGTCCAGAGGACAGCTAACTGGCTGGGTCGATCAACTCGTGTCACATGACCAGGGCAGACTCAAGGGTCACATGAATCGTTTCTGACAGCATAGCGCCGGGTTTCGCAAATGCATTGTGAATACTCTGGCTGTAGTCAAGCCACGCCGTTGGATCGATACTGGCAGTCTATTCGTTACTCGGTAGAGGACGCGAAGCGACTCGTTCTTTTTGACCACGTGACCGGCTTGAAACGTGTTTCCTATTGGAGCTCATATTTGAGAGCGTCTGCTGAATGCTAGGAGAAAAGTATCACCTACATGCCGTCGATAAAAGTGGGTACGTCCAATCTCCCGATTCAGCCGACGAATCTCCAGTTTGTCAATGAAAATTTCACTCAAGAGGAAATCAGGAGTAGGGCCCAAGGCTACCCTAACGAGTCACATGACTTTGACAGAAATGAGCCAATCCCAGCTAACCAGGTCCAGCTGCAACTTCCGAAACATTCCCTCGAAATTGAATGATGAAGGGAGCGTGGTAAATCATGATAGTAGACTTTTATTGTCCTCGATAGCCATATTTAAGAGACACAGACAAACGGTAGCGATACACAAACGTCAAACCCCCCTCCAAAGCGTTTTACAGTTCCTAATTGTCTCCAACACTCGTTGCCATGGCACGCAAAGCATGATTACTTTTGTACGGATCGCATAAAATTGTCATGCTGATGAGTTCTTCTCTATGGGGTTTCCTCGAAAGATAGATGCAAAAATTCGACAGTATGCCTTTTGTGGTCATTCGAGGGATAAAAACACACAGGTCACGAATCTGTTCTAGCTGGCACACTTCAATCAGAGTACCTTTGTTCCAAACGAGCCAGGAAGTGTTATGTTGGCGCAGCCTGGAACGCGGTTGCATCCTACTGAGCAAAGCAGTTGAGCAAGTATTTCCGAAAGTTTATTGTGTGCTCAAACTGTTGAAGGCTAAAAGCAGTCTGAAGTTTTCAGTTTGATTTTTACATCTTCTGTTGAGAGAATTAATCTTGGAAAACTCAGAGACCCCGTGAGGCTCTACGGTGAAGCAATAAATCCGCCCCGATGAAACATCTGGGCGCAGCACCAGATGGATTGGCAACAAATCGTTGCGTTGATATCGCCACGACAGAACCAATTTCAAGCAAACGATGCAAGTTTGGTGAGTATGGATGATCCCAGCGCCAAAAAAAAATGAGTTAGCCGGACTCACACGAACTAAGGCAGACAAACATTTGAGGTAATTTAGACTAAATCTGGGGTAGTAAATGCCAACCAATTAAAACTGAGATAGATCCGTGTGAGCTTCTTTTTTTAGCGGACGCGTCTCTTCACTGAGTACCGCCATCCAAGTGGTATCCGTGGCCAGTTACTTGTGAAGCATTTCAACGAGTTCATGCTGACTACTGTGGTCCTTTTCTCGGTAAATACTACGCTTTAATTGTTAGTGACGCATATTCACGTTGGCCTGAAGTCTTTCTAACTACGTCTCCAAGTGCCGAATTCATTCAGCAAGCATTGAGGAAAGTATCCAGCCATGAAGGTGTACCAACTGTTTTGGTCACTGATAACGGTACACACTTTACTGCAAAATTCCTCGAGGAATGTTTGAAGGGTCTTGGATGTCGACATCTGTTTACTGCTCCGCGACATCCCCAGTCGAATTGACTTGCTGAGAATTTTGTCCGAACACTTAAGTCTGCCATTATTTCACTCTCTCCTACTACTTTTGAGGAATTGGACCGTGGGATTGATAATTTTCTAATGCAATACAGGAACGCCGTTCATTCCGTTACTGGGAAGAGTCCCTCGCTTCTATTTAAATCTCGTTCGTTACGTACAAGTCTTGACTGTGCCCAAACGTCGTTTGGTAAAAATTCCTTCTGGAAAGTCGGGAATCGAGGAGCCAGCGAATCGTTGTGTAACCATGTGATGTAGAATACCACTACGTGTGCGAATGAGTGTAATATGCTACATTCTGTTTAACTGAGAGTTATTCACCATGCAGAAGACAAATTCCAAAACCGCGCTGCTATTTCCAACCACATGTGGCAGCCGATCACCATATTTATTCCCCTTGACCCGACAAACTGAAACCACCTTCTTTTAATGAACTATTTTATAAGTTTAACGATTTCGGTCGGACATTGTCCTTTTTGTGGTTACCCGCCCTCGATATCTGTTTCCTTGTGACGTTATCGAATTTTTGGCGAAGGGAACTCTGTTCATTCCTCTGTTCATCATTCTCTTGTTTCAATATTCCATATGCTGTACATATTCGCCAATTCGAATACATACGCGCTGGTTGTTACGCTGCGCTGAATTTTGGATTTCTAGTTCGCCTGATTATTCCGATATACGTACGGAACTTAATTCTCACAGACGGGTTTGGCGCTTTCTAGGTGGCAGTTACGCAAACGGGACATTCTCCCGTGAGAACAGAAAACTAAGTGCACTGAGGAGAAATTCTCAAAATGGGTTTAACCAACCCCGTTATTACTGACTGCAACCTGTAATCGCGTCCTTATACAGATTAAAGGGATCATATACGTGTTGGGTGGCTTACTTCGCGAACCTCTTTCATTGAAGATATTCTAGCCACATCAAGAAACTTACGCGTACCAAAACTCGTCTTTTGTCTATCTTTTAAATCATAGTTTTCCGGCTTGTATTCACTTTTCCACGAAAGACTTTAGTGCAGCTCGGTACAAACCCAGAAGCACATTAGTAATGCTATATGACATCACTCTGCTTACAGAGTGACATTTCGGTCAGGGAAAAATTATTATGAACTGACGTAGGTTCCCATGTGATCAAGTGAAGTTCAGCCAACAATGGGTCACGTGGACAACGTGCTAAGTGAGCTTGAGATCTGAACAAAAAAATGAAGTCTAACGATAAAAACGATTAGTTTGTTACTGAAGAAAATGTTGGTAACTCTGGCAGCGTAGATGGTCATTGGTTTGTTCACTGAGCAAACGTTTCATCGCCGATCAAGGTGACATCATCAGTGCGTTGTTAGGGAGCGTAGTGGAGCATGGCCCTGGGGCAGATGGGTTGGTATAACCACCGACCCACCGCTACGCTCTACTACAATCCCTAGAAACGATTAGTCTTCTGTGGTAAATTCCACAGTTTCCCATCTCTGGGCTATACATGCCCGAAAAATTCACGAGAACGATGAGGCAATTTCCCAGTAAATCATGACATGGGATGCTGAAATTTCAAGTTCAAACATTACATCGATCATCCCCCCGCCCTTCCGTGCATGTTTCCTGAACTTACGTCACAGTCTTGGAACAACGATCAAGTTTTCGCACGATGTCCCTACCCGATCAGTCCCCACTGCAGCGGTCTTAGAATATTCTCTATGGGACGCCTTTAACAACAAGTTTTAAAAAGTCCCAAAATCTTGGGACTTCCGTTTGATGTATGCGTTTCATGTATTACGATAGTCTCTGAGAGTAGGACAGAGGGAGAGCGAGGGAGACATCTCGGAACGACTTGGTCTGATTTGATGCAAAATACTATGAGAGTTCCTCCCATTCACCCAAACAAACTTTGGATTGACGGCACAGAATTCTCAAATCGATAGCAAAACACTACTTACGGCGCTCACTGTCCTAATGAGAAAAACACCGAATAGTTGGTGGAAAAACACGAAGGATGTGATGAAACCGAAATAAAACTGCTTCAGTTTGTGAGTTAACTCTGATTGACAGCCAAGTGAAACGGTAGATAGAAGCGTTTCGCCCTAGTTATGAATTTGTTTCTTTTTTGCAAATACGATGCATTTCAACTAATGCACCGAGACGTTTCTTGTGCTGTAATTTCCAAGCTAAACGTTAACTGACGTTCCAAATAGGTTTTTAGGCAAGAAAGGTTTATTGCATTCGGGAAAAACGTTCGCACCCAGAGGGGAACATTCGTTCGGGACAGAATCGGGCAAGCGTTTCACGAACCTCATAAACATCCACAAATGGGCACCGAGTTTCGCTCGTACAGTTGATTTTGAGGAAAATATGTCTCGGCTTCCAATGAATACTGACACATTCCGCCTGCGATCTGGTTGTCAACGCTTCGTCTTTTACCTTTTATGGTGAACAAGATTCGATGATAGCGAAAAGTGCAGTCTCAGAATTTGTGGCAGTGCACGAAAGATGGGCATGCATTCCAACAAGCTTAGACAAGGTTACCTTTCAAGTGTGTAAAAAAGTAGACAGTTTTCTTGGTCATCCAAACGTGAGTTTGTGCTGATTTCTACTCGCTCATCCACTCCTAAATTGGTTCAACCGGGCTCGATTGGTCTTCGGTTCCTCACGTGATTCTTTTGAAGTCTTGAACCAAACAGCAGACTCTAACGATAATAAGGGTTCTCATAGATCCAACGTTTAAGTGAATCAGAGAACATATCCTCAAAGACAGGAAGTTTTCTGTTGCGAGTACTGGTGTAACAGTGGATACTACTGATGGGGTATGCGAGTAGTTTGGTTCCTCGTAAATCCGTTTCGCGTCTCTTGAAAAGTGAGATCTATTACGGAATTTGTGGAGTCGCATTTGCTTGCATTTGAGTAACGGTCAATGAATATCCGAGAAAGTTCAGGAAGGCGCGTTCAAGGAGAAGATGAATATCAGTTTTGTAAACAAGATGCCTATAAGAGTTTTTCTTCCCTGTCCAATAGTCTGGAACTGTTCACTTGGCGTTTTCTAATAAATAACTCCTCAGCAAGGGCCTTTTCCCTTTCACTGGTAGTTGGTATCTTTTAATGCCGTATTTACTGTCCCTGATGCTACCAATTTAAACCTTAAAGTACCAGTATCACGTGCTGAGATTATAGGCCCATGGGCATTGAGTGGGATGTGTGATAAGTACTCATTTAGAAAGTACACTAGTGCTATTGAAGGCCCAAATGTTTACCACAACCTTCAGGTATGAAAAAAATATGAATCGATCGGCTGCAGCACGCCTTCCGCGACTAGCTGCCATGCCATCAGAAAGAAGCACGAAAGCTGCCAGGTTGCCCAAGCCTAGACAGGGAAAGTCGAGCTGCAGAGGTCGGGTTCGAACCATGAACATTCCGGACAGTAAATTCACGCTCTGAGCCATCTCGCCATCAGTGAAAAATGGTAAAACTAGTTGACACCAGTTCCATCTGAAGAACCCTGGGCGAAACTTGTGGTGGGCTGTCCAGGAGTCAAAACAAGTAGCGCCACCTCAAAGGATAGGGGAAGTGGTTTCAGTAAGCAGCCCTAAACGAAGTATTACTAGATGCAGAGCCATTCTGTTGCGGTTAAACTATGGCCCACGCGTACGAGAAACTTCGTGAGGATGTCTCCCCGTACGAGGAACGTGAAACAAAAAGACAATTAAAACCAAAAGACTTGCAGCTTATAGGATCCATTTAAGCCAGAGCGAGTTTTGAAATACGGACGTAGTATGAGTTCTGGCGTTTGGCTTTGTTGACACCGTTCCAAATTTCCCTTAAATTTTCGGGTGAGTTATGCATGCTGGGTTGCCGCGCTGTTTTGCGTGCCTAACTCGGAGTGGCGGAAGCCCAGAGGTGGACAGAATTTGGCATAGCAAAAGGAAATTAAGAATGTTACAGAGAGTACTGTCGGTGCCATCCGCCTTCCGAACTGAGGTCCACCCGACCCTCAGTCTGCTAGGCCGGAAACACCGAACGATACGGGCGTCTAACAGATGTCAGCGACGTTCAAACTGTCAGATTCTATCCAGGTTATGTGGTGGAGGTGTACGCACTTCGGATGTTTGTGGTATGTTAGCCCCAGGCCGCACTAAATACTCTATTTTTACATTCTTTCGATAATAAAATCTTAAACAAATAAATCAACATGGTTATACATTACGGTTAAGCACCAGTGTTCTCACCTGGTGTTGATGATGATGACGACGATAGATACCTGGGGAACAGAGTTCAGGAACCTCTGCATTTATGTGTCTAATGCCCACTGGCGATCCGAATGTGCGTATAAAACTACAAAGAAGCTATCAATGAAAGGTACCAATGTGAACGCTACTCAAAACAATACTAATTTAACTCAAGTGAAGTTAGGTGACGGGCCGAACCAGGAAGGACTACTTCCGTTAAGTAATAAAACTGAACGAACTAATGATTGTAAATCAGGCCCTTCTGAAAAGAAAACTGAACGGATTTTATCTTAGTTCCCTCTAGTCGAGCTCCGGAATACCAGGTGATATTCGTCCCCGTCTAAGTGATTAGAGAGAATAGTGATTGATTGGTGATATGGCTTGGTGAGTAGATCGCGAATCTACTGACCGGAAGGTCCGAGTTCGAACCCGACCTCTGTTTAAGGTTGGGCAACTTGGCAGTATCCCAGCCCTCGTGCTTCCTTCGGGTGGCATGTCAAATAGTCACCGAAAAATCATTTGCGTCTACGTTACCAGAATGACTCAGTTAATATAGTACGTACTTTTTGACGTAGCGTTGCTGAAAACTTATCGACAGCTCACGACCGGTTTCGCCCTTCTTGGGGTCGGCTCATCAGGTAGGTACAGTCCCCCAGGGTAGCTCCCCGTCAACCTTATGTTCTACCTAGACCAAAATTGCACAGATTTCGACAAATACACTCATTTTGATCATCAGTTTGGTTTTAACGGGAGACTCACCTGGGACGGAACGTAGCACAACATGCTTTTCTCTGCAGTTGCTGCACCGATTCCTTTACGGATCGGATAACATCCAAACCACAAATAGGAATCAACCGATAAATGTTCATTGCTCTTTCATCCGTCCAGGTAAGTGCCCGACGGCTTATGCTCATTGACAATGTGTCGCTTGGTTATGTTTACTGGCTGACGATCAGTTGGCCGTCAGCCTGTTCGTCGAGCTTGACCTCGAGAACGTTTTCGTCACCCAAGGAGAAAGTACCATCATTCAGTGATGAAACGTCGACAAGCTTATTGCCAAGCCCGGCGAACCACATACCTGTTCGACAACCAATGACCTTGAGCCTCTGAACTGACGGCAACCAACGGACTAATTGGGTCAACGGAAGACAATCACGAAAAAAACAGAAGACCGATGAATCGACAATTCAAGTGAACAAAACCCACACCACAAAGCAGGAGGGAAACCACCGAATCACAGCAGAACAACTACATACAGAACTGCCGAAGTGAATGCACCCAACGAACCAAACAGACACAGGAGACTGAGACCACGTCAGATTCACAGAAGACCAAGCAAACTACACGGCGACCGTTTCCAAGACTACCAGATACTGTTTAGAAACTATATAATCACAGGCAGAAGAGGAGGAGTTCATCCACTTAACCCTGCACTGACGATGTCACCTTGATTGGTGATGAAACGTTTGCAATCCAACTGCCAAGCTCGATGAACAAACCCACAACCGAACTGACGATATGCTTGCGACTTTGCTGCAGTGAATGTTGGATAGTTTTTAAATTTAGTTCAAAAACAGTTCTGAAGGCTGTGTGAAACTGTAGGACGAGAGCAAGTTGTTTACATCCAAAATTACCTGACTCGAAGGCACGCATGATGTGTGACGATCACACATGGGACTGATTTCCAGACCAGCCTCACGTTCACGATCTCCTTGTTGGAAAAGTTCTTCCGTGATGCGTTCCACCCACTGACGGTAGATGTTCAGAGGTTTTGTTGGATTGCTCAGGTCCGCTGCATGCACCAAACATTCGAGAATCTACAAAGTGGAGCCACAAATTACCTTCAAATTACTCCGTTGCGATCAACAGGTACTACTGGTGAAATATGAAAGTAGTGTCTGGCCAAGTGTCAGATCTCTGTCTCGCCTCTCATGGAAAGTTGATTGGAAATTATGGAACCACCTTACAGTGCACGCTCATTATTGTTTATATTCAATGAACATCCAAGAAAAGTTCAAGAGAACGGTGACGTTTTATTTTTGTATCCAATAGCGCCCAAATATCATGGTTGTACGAGAGCTGGGATACTGTCAGGGTGCCCACACCTAGACAGGAGGACGATTAAGGTCCTCAACCAAAGCCTTTGGCTCAAAAGTCTAACTGCAAGGCAGCGGTGTTTGGCTAGAAATGCAATTACATTACCACTTCACGTCATCACATATGTTCCAATCCCCAACCTAGAGGGCCAGGAGACCTCTATCCATTGACCAACCTGATACGGGAGACCCTGTGAGTGTGTCGCGGAAACCCCGCAGTATAGCTCCATGGGTCGCCGAGGTACACAAACCTCCAAACCACGGTCAGGTCCAGTCTCTTCGTGACGGTCAATAAACAACTCCTCACTGTCTTCCTTTCAACGGTATAACGTGTGCAGTTTTATCTCCGCGTCTGCGTGCCCAAATACTTTGTCAGGTTAGAGCCAAGTTCGGCTTAAACCGTATTTCGAGAAATGGTGAGAACAGATCACAACCATTTTGCCCTAAGACGGCGTGTTTTGATTTGGTCTAATGCGTGCAAAGTTCCTTTATTTTACTGTTCCACGTAGTCGTTTTGCGAGAATTCTGAAGAAAAAACGTCAGACCTTTCTATAACTTTATAGCACATTTTTCCACCAAGGTCATTCTAGATTTTGAAAATGTCTAAAGATAGTGAAGTAGCGAAATTCGACAGACTCCTGACTCTTTATCCCACCAAGTTGGTGGCCATATTGAAATATGGTCGCATTTCCGCCTACGGATCTCATATAATAATATAATCGTCCAGCTGTAGCAACCTTCCGATGTCTAGCTGCCATGCCACACAAAGGAGTCACGAGGGCTGGGATACTGCCAGGTTGCCCAAGCCTAGACAAGGGAAGTCGAGTGGCATAGGTCGGGTTCGAACCACGGACCTTCTGATGAGTAAATTCGCGCTGCAACTACTTGGTCCATCTCACCGGATCTCAACCGGATTAGAACTGACTTTATTAGCTTTTTAAGCAGTTTCACCGTTGCCTCATGCTCTTCTTGTGTCGGAAATTTTCATTCATCACAACACAAGCTTTGTTTGTAGTTTGCCGAATTTAGGCTTGCTTATTTACTCGGAACAACCTGTGTGGATCTCATCTGCATTCGACAAGCTGAATGCACCCAGAGTCTGAAAAGGAACGAACGTGGCTGCAGTTCTCACTGTGTCCACGTTCACATTCGAACAGCTTCCGATCCAAAGGCAGTGTCGTACAGTGCTCTGGGCACATGATGACAGAAAGCTTCGAGAGAAGTAGTCGCTGTTTATATCATTGTCCCCTCAATAAATGCCGGAGCATCGACTGGCCTTACTGTGCTGTACGTACCCATGTAACGGTGATACTACTGATGGAGGAGGCACGTGAGTAGTATGTCTTCTTCTTGTAAATTCGCTTGAAAAGGAAGATCCATTGCGGATTTGTGGACTCGCTTTGTAGCCCTTGCTTGGACTTGAGCAACAGTCAATAGATATCCAGGAAAGTTCAGGAAGGCGCATTCAATAGAAAATGGATGTTCAGTTTTTGTAATTAAGATGCATATGAGAGTTTTGCTTTCCTGTCCAATAGTCTGTAACTGGTCAGTTGGTATACCCTAATATCTCCGCAGCGAAGGAATTCTTTCATTCACCCATGTGAACGAGCCTACGAAATTCAAGTTGTGCTCACGGTCTTGAGTAGCAAACAAACGGCATTCATTGAACGAGCAAATATCATTGTTTCATTTCTTAGCATTCGATTCAGCGGGTGATAGGTCGGGACAACACGTCCTGACGAGACTGTCCGACAACCGAGGGTTGCGACAGAGTGGAGCAGTTTCAGGTGCGTTCCACCTCACTACCAATAGTGACTAATGCGCGCGCAGGTTCCGAAGTCGGAATAAATGACATAGTGATGCAGTGTCTTCTTGATAGAGATCATTGATTCCAAAGGATTTCGTTGGGCATCTTTCATTCTCACGGGAATTTCAACGAAAAGCCCATCAAGAATTAGAAAATGTCCGCCTGCTGCTTACTGTACCAGGTTTAGAATAGACCGCTCTGTATGGGGACTGAAGACCCAGGTCATATCAGTGGATGCTTTTTGACTTATTCAGTCATGTATGAACTCTGGATGCTCTCGGATAAAAATACAGAACTGTTGTTAGTGGGAAAAAACAAGTTTTTCTTATGATTTTATCTTCCCGTTCATATTTGCCCTGTCAAGCATCTCTGTTCCCTTAGACTCGTAAGTATGGGTTACACGGAACAGGGTACCACTTGATCAGTTGGTCGTTTTTTAAGATGTGACTTGCGTTGCCTCGAGATTAGGATCCCCAAAACCATACTTCAGGACTCAACTTAGATCGCCATTCCAATGGGTCTGTTGAGACAGTTGGTTAGGTCAATGAATCGCGCATTCCGAGCGGCCATTTGAATTGCGGAAAATTCGTGGAGAAAAAGGTGAGCTTGGTACACCCAACCAACCGAGACCGGAAAGGAATTTGATGTATTCTTAGCGAATATACACACATTTGTATATTCGCTGATTTCGTGCAATTAGGTTTCAAGTAGAACATAAGGTTGACGGAAACCCGGGGACTGCACCTACCTGGTAAGCTCCAAGAAGGACGAAACCAGTCGTGGGTGGCCGAGGTGTTTTCAGCAACCTTATGAGTAGTGCACTACAAAAATATTGATGTAATCTTGTTTGATGGCGGTAGAACGCGGTAAAAGTCTTCAGCACCAAGTTAAATCGGACTGAAAAATGCGAGGTGAATTCTGCAAAACGATCCACAAACAGGGCCTTGATCAATCAAGGTTTTGAAATCGTCAAAAGACGATTGAAAGTAGTTGTCAAAGGCGATAAGACTAAACTAATTCAAATAAAGCGGCAGCTTTGAACAGTTTGACATTCGGAGTTGTTGGCTCCGCGGTGTGATAATATATGTAGCTTTATATCAGCCTGCTCAATTATGACGCGATGCACCCCTGCTGGTCCCCATGCTACCTGACACGTATGCTCTGGTTCACGAGTTGGCGACGAAACACATACAATTTATTGTATGTCTGCGGACAAGTATTATCAAACAATGCGGGTAAGACGCGGGCGTGATCATTTTGGCCAATGTTTTTGTAAATGGGAGATGAAATATCTGGGTTAGTAACCTTCGCGTTCCTCGATGGAAAAACAAAAACGTACCTGAATCCGAACGGCCAGTGTATCCAATTTTATCTCATTGAAACCGGAGGCTCTCTGACTCTCCACCATTGTCTTCAAGTCTGCTAGCAACGTCATATGTTTGGACATGTCGGTAGCCAGGACCTAGAAAACGGAAGTGGGCGCGTGGATGATTAATGTGAACTGGTCAAAACCGCGATTGTATTGACCAACCCCCCGAGACCTTAGTGTTGGAAAATTTACGATGAGTGGGTTGACGCCAAGAAATCCGAAAAAACGGATGCCGACAGGGCGACTCTTTGATAAAGGAATGCGTATTTTCGGAATCCATAGCATTATCCCCTTTCCTAAGACCTATTCTTCATTCGCATCTGGACAAAGTTGTTTGTGTTTCCCATGTTGATGGGTCTTAGTTCCACCAAAAATAGAACGGAATTTTGAGGGTTGGAGGAGTGTTAATCATTTGTGAAGTCAAACCGCTCCGGTTGATCCCTCAAAAGAATGCAATGTCTGTGTGTCGTCTAGTCCTATTATCCGCGAACAAATGTTGTATGGACGTAGTATACTACTCACGAGGTCGCTGAAAACTCTTTGACAGCCCACGACCGGTCTCACGCTCCCGCTTCGGGCTGGCGCAGTCTCCAAATTTCTGTCAACCCTATGTTTTTAAGCTTCAGTTATTTCCTCCTTGAGGATCCAGTAAACTTGTGATTTTCATGGCATTCGTTCACACAGACTTGTAGGGAGTGTAACAAATTTCTATAGAAGAAAATGTCGGTAGCTCAGGTAGCGTAGATGGTCGTTGGCGTGTTCGCTGAGCTGGGCAATTTGATTGCAAACGTTTCATCCCACTCGAGGTGACATCACTGATGATGTCGGCGCACGGGTTCTAAAATCTCGTCCAACGATTGGGCAGTTGCGTGATATGGGGAATTACACATATCCAAAAACCGGCCTCAACGGAACATCTTTCTTATGAACCTTAGGCAATCCATAAAGTCGTGAGATTGTGGTACCGACAGGTTTCAGACGTTGAAATACGACTTCAGAAATCAAACCCTCATTCTTCAGACGCTTCAAACAGTTTGTTAGTTTTGTTTCAGTTGCTTGAGTCTGGTCTCTTGCCTTTTGCTCGTTGCTAAAGTATGAAGTGTCATTCAAGATTTGCATCATCTTTCTGAGGTAGTCATCCCTGTTCATAAGTACTATTCCAGCTCCTTTGTCAGGCTTTGTTAGCAGTATATCACTCCTCGTTCGTAAGGCTTTCAATGCGTCTAGGTGTTTCTTTGTGAGAGGACTGTTGTGAACCAATCTGGCGTGATTATATTGATAGCTGCAATTGACCAACTCGGATTTGAGGCGGTCTAAGTTGGCCATTGAGGTCGGGGACAGGCCAGAAGTCTGGTCAAATGGGTTCTCGAATTGCACCTCGATTGCTAATTTGTCATCTCTACGGCACGGGTAGCAGAATTTTGGCCCTTCAAAAGCGTTTCATCGAGAACAAAGTTGAAACAGTTGTATACATACCTATCAGCAGGGTTTTCGAGGAATTTCACTCGCGGCTTTTCCTCACCCAAGGTTTTCTTTAATTTGAATGTTTTCTCATCAGCCTGTTTTGTAGCAATACGTAAGATGTAAACTCCTGATATTCGTCGTCTGAAAGATCCTGTACTACTAACCTCAACAGTTCAGCCAGGAGCTCAATCGCATCCCACCTAATTGACACCGGGCACGTAGTCATGCCAAATGAGTCATTTCAAATCACTTACCGTGTGCCAAATAGACTGCCAGTATCTATTCGACGGCGTCGCTTGACTGCAGCCGAGGTAGTCGCTATACGACTGCGAAACCTGGTACTGTACTGTCAAAAATGTTTCATACGAACGCTGAGTCCGCTTGGTCGTGTGACACCAATCGACCGACCAAGTCACTCAACAGCTCTCTTGACTGTCTCACAGCACCCAACTAGATGCGACACGGGGGGGGGGGGGGGGCAAATCGCTCGTGTCTCCACGTTTTGCATTTCACTAACCAATCTTCGCAGCGTATTTCATTTTTCGCTCTTACTTTAGCCATTAGATATGTACTGACCTGATGACGAGATCCCGGAAACACTAATGTTCGTCAATGTGTTATTTTTTAAATATTCTTGTTCTGTTGTTCTCACAACAACGCATCACCGCCTTACGGAACGGTGTAAAAGGATGATAAAGCGAAAGTGGGTATGAAAATGGTTGTGGATGGAATGTCTTTTATCATAGGTAAATCATAAGTAAATCACTAAACCACCCCCTCCAGTCTCAGCTATTATTTTTAAAGTACATTTTCTCCCCGGTGATGACATTGTGGCCAAAGGACACAGTGGTGACAAGTTGGTTGGTTTCAAGTAGGGAACTACTCACAAGGTTGCTGAAAACTCTTCAACAGCCGACGACCGGTTTCACCCTTCTTGGGGCTCATCAGGTAGGCGCAGTCCCCGAGTTTCCCTCAACCTTATGATCTACTTGAACCCCTACGAAATCCCCAGGGATGGGGGAAAAACTGTTCCTACAAAACGTCCAATCTGTCGAATCATCCAACTTTCCCCCCGCTGTTTGTGATGGTATCCTTCTCATCGTCGAATTCCCCGTCTCTATATGTTGATCTCTTTCCAAACGAAGAAGAATTTGAAAACCAAATATGCCGTCGCAGGACTATGTTAGTTGTACATTTTCTAACGGACTGGACGACCACAAACGATAAGCGTCGTAATATCGTCGCACAAAGCCAAACCCGTCAAAAGAATGAAACAGATATGGCGCTAGTATGCTGGTATTTTCGTATGAGAATAGGCCTAACAAGTAAAGCGACCCTCTTCATCAAAACCATTTTTTCTGAAGAAACGTACTACTCATAAGGTTGCTCAAAACTTCCCGTGTTCAGATCAGCACTGCAGTTCCGAGTGAAATTTACCTACCTACGCTGACCTCCTGTTCAGGATACTCCCGACACAAATTCTGTCACAAGTCGGCCAGTAAACTTCGCCCCAATATCTCTTCTGAGAATGTCTCCTGCATTTCAAACATTAAATGCCCTCAGCAAGCCATCTGACTCACTCCACAATCATCCACTACCTTTAGAAGCAACTTACCTTCAGGCACAGCGTCACCAGAGTCCTAGACCATATCCTCACGCATAAACTGTTGAGATGCCCTGTGCCAATAAGGATGCGCCTGCAAAGTCGAGAGATATTCGACTGCCCACCGATGCCAGAAAACACGAGCTAAATAATGCTGTATCCAGCGAGGCTAGACTATCCCAACCAGATATTGCAGGATAGCGCTGTGTGAGCAACAAACAAAGCGCTTTCAGTTGCTGTTATTTGAACAGTGGTGAAACTGCCTCGCATGCCAAAAGTGCGTTCATCGGGAGCGATCAATAGCAAGACCATCGGAACATTGGAAGATCAGGTTCCCATTCGGAAGCCTCCGTAAAAGAGCAACGCACCTATCTTATCCAAGAAGCACTTGAAATTTACACCGTCCGGCAAACAAATGCTTTGCCCTTCTTGAGGCACATCAGATGGGCGCAGTGTGAGTCTCCGTCAAATTTGAGTTTTGACTGAACACCAAAATGTAACCAATCGTCAAAGTACATTCATTTAACTATTAACCTGATGATAACGGGAGACCCAGTGGAACCCGAGCTGGATAGCTCGCTTGCACAAAGGTCGTGTGAACACTGAAGTTGAGACTGAGCTGTCGTGTGACGCGCCGTTTGTCGAGTTTCAGTTGCCTTATACACCAATGCTTATTTGTTTCGTCAAAAAATTTCGTTGCGGCAAAGTGCTTACACATCCGATAACTGGAGATCAGGTCCTACGGTCATTCCGAGTAGTTTTGATGACTTCACGTGGCTTCACGTGTACTGCAATGCACTTCACAAAGACCTAAAATGCTCCGCTTCTTTGTGTCAAATGGGTCGAAGTTGATCTTATGTTTTCCACCGGCATTTGTGGGTCATTCCTGCGCTTGTTTCCATTTTTGTTGGTCCCAAAAACTAAGATATACAAGACAGGTTTTAGCAATTTGAAGTCATTAGGATCTTCAACGCAGGCGTTATGCAAAACTGAGGAGATCCTGTCAGCTTATCGCAGAGTGCACTTGCTGCAGTGCATTTTGTTAGATGGTACCATATCTTGTACATCCCCGTAACAGAATACCTTCCGGAAGCCTCCAGTCCGCAACCGTCAATCCATATAGCATCGGCGTCTAGGAATATACGCAGCCCGGATGCGCTGCTTGTCAAATTGTAAAAATGAAGGTGCCTAATGGACCAACCAAATTCATGGAAATTAGACCACGACGTAATTCATATTTCCAGATGACCCATCAAATTACGCAGTGCCCATCTCGGGAACACTATAGAGCTAATACGTACTTTTAAGAAACGATGTAAGAACAGGTAGAAGAGAAGGAATTTACCTACTCAGTCACGCAGTGATGACGTCACCTCGACTGGTGATGAAACGTTTGCAATCCAACTGCCAAACTTGGCGAGCAGACCAACAAGCATCGGAGTGGTTGCCTTAACCAATACTGCAGCCACCGTTAACATCCAAACACCTGCCTTGCATATTTGACCGGTCGTCAGTCTGACTACCGTCGAACTTTTGTGCTGTTGGTAGCGAGCCATGTTGCTTCATCAAACACAGCTAAGTTTTCTCAAGTTTCCCCTATAATATGTCGTACTGGCCAATGAAACAACTGCTCACGCTCGACCAATTTCCCGCGACGGTTTTTGCAGTAGAGTGGCAGCACTGCCCCACCCAACTGGCATCACCGGTACGCGAAACCATTCTGGATTCCTCTGACACCTCTCTTGAGGCAATGCTCAATGTCTGGTTCGTGCTGAAACAGTTTTTAACCTCCTCACATAAGCTTTCAGTTCCACTATTCGTTTGGCCAAAAAAATGATCATCTTCGTCATTGATAGCGACATCAGATGGTCACCTTACAGACATTTCAAAGGATTTGGATAAAGACTTATAATGGAAAGAAGAAACTATTTGGGTAGGGAGGGGTGCAGCGGGGTGAGGAGCCGGAGGAAGAAGGGAGACATCAGCAGTGGCCCTGCTGTATGCAGCAAGTAAGGCGACCCGGCACCATACGACCGCCGATATGGCATGAGAGTATTGTTAGTCTAATGTTTGTACGTGGACTGCCAGGACGCCCATACCTCGACAGGAGGATGATTAGGGTCCTCAACCAAGGCCTTTGGCTCAAAAGCCTGATCGCACCGCAGCGGCGTTTGACGTAGAGGTTCAGAATAACCAGAGAAAAGCAACCAACCAACGCGGGGTTACACTCACCAGGCTTATGACAATCTTTCGGAATAGCTGCCTCTGCATTGTGGTGAAATGCTTCGTTATGTCCACTTGAGGTTCCGAATGGAGCAAATCAAACCCGATATAGAGGTGATGGTTCTCTAAAACCGATTTGTCGTTGTACAAAATTGCCAGCTCGTTGTCTGAAACAGAAAGACATACGGGCAAGGTTGATATTAGCACGTGGGTCCCAGTTTACGAAGACTTTGAAACAAGAATGTACCGAAACGCTTCTGTTCGCTTTATTCTAACAAGAAGATGCCACTGGTTAAGGGAAGCAGAGGCAGACCTGAATACCGAGTGTGGCGATACGTTCAAATAGGTTGAAATATCTTTTTAATGTACTACTCATAAGGTTGCTGAAAATCCGTGGACAGCCCACGACCGGTTTCGCCCTTTTTGGGGCTCATCAGCTAGGCGCAGTCCCAGGGTTTTTGTCAACCTTATATTCTACTTGAAATATATTTGCTAAATCTAAACCGAGTGGTATTTGAGTCATACGGTTTGAAAGGCATTGTCACTACGGTACAGCACGATTGTTTCCAACACTCGGTAAAACCGGCTGGATATCTCGCCTCAAGCGAAAAGTGTAGTTTGACCATGCAGTGTGGAAGGACGCGAGTTGGAACAATCGATTGAGACGTACCACGGTGTGGCGTGGTTCAGCTGCCGTAACACTATGGCAGTGGAACCTGAAGGGAAAAATAGTCAACTGAAGTAGCTAACCAGGTAGGCTTAGGTAAAGTGCAACCCGTTTTCACGTACACGCCAATGATGACAAAAATTGTGCGAACTTTTTAGTGTCCAAAGTGCAGTTTTCATCGACTTTTCTTTGCTAAACCTACAGAGAGGTTCGGTAGTCCGCCATTCCAGTAAAGTTCATAAAAAACGTACCACAGCTGACAGAAACAACTGTTCGAAAAGACCACGTTCCATTTCATGTGCAAAAAAACCACTGGAAACCTCTCTTTGACCACTAATGGATATTCAACTTATTTTTGAATATTTTTGAAGTTTGATGTGGATGGATCGACGTTTTCCGATCAACTTGAAAGTAAAGTTCACACTGGAAAAGTGCGTATGAGAGTCCAGTGATTCGGGTTGTAAGAAATGTCTGCAAAGCAAATAGTACTTTTCTCGGTGCTATGCTATCCAGACTGGTCGTTGATCTGTTCGCCGAGCTTTGCAACTGACTTTCAAACGTCTCGTCCGTAGTCGAGGTGACATCGTAGGTTGTGGTAGAGTGAGTGCTTCCTCCACGCCTAGCTGCATTTATATAGTTTTTGAAGTGTTTGATATCCTCTCACGTGATCAGCTAATTGGTATATACCTTTCTTGTTATTGGTCCGATCGTTGCGTTGTATTCTGTATATCTCTAATTCTATTGGTCCTTGGAATTGCTCGGGCCGTTCACGGTTTGTATTGACTTTGGTTGCGCGTGATGATGACCTCTATATTTTGTGTACTTTCCATCCTTCGGTCTTATTTGTCCGTCCTTAGTTTGTACCGTAGTTTCACTTTTTTCAGTTTGATTACCCGTTCGATGTAGTTTTTTTATTTCCCTTTTTGGCCGATTTGGTTGCACTCGGACAGTCAGTTTGTTTAGTCGTTCTGTATCCTTCGATTTATCGGTTCGATATTGGTCCAAGATTAATCTCACGATTTTTGTTTTGATTTGTCCGCCTCTTCTATACCCGTTCACTCCGGTTTGTTGTGCGAGTTTGCGTTCCGTAGTTCTTTTGTTCGCACCGATCGATCGAACGGGTCGATTTCGATGTGTTTGATGATGGATTTTTCAGTACAGTGCCATGCTCCCATGAAATCTTTGTTCTCGCTTGAGCGTTGATCATACGCGTCATCAGATATGAAAGCCTCAGGAGAGAACTTTTCGTTTTCAATGCGAGCTGTCCAACAAAATGTCCCTGGGGACAAGCTGTGGTGTGTGGTTTGTGCAACCGGCGGTACCCCATCGACTATCGCTGTGATAAAACAAGAATGACGATAAAAACCAGAAACTCGCGAATGGAAGTAAATGACACAACGCCGTATTCATCACTTTGATTAGATGTGCTTCAATTCTCTCAACGTTTCACCGACCAGTTGGATTAGCAACTCAGTTGTACATAAAACTTTCAGGTGAAACCAAGTGAAATTCAACACCACGACGGTGAAAATGGGCAAACCTGACGGGAGTGAAGTACACACCGTTAGGAGACCTTTGACGGTCCCAGTTTTCTACTGGCCCGTATGGTTATAGGATTTCCGAACATGATGTCTGTTTTACCACTCGTTGAAAAAAAGGCACGAGAGTTAAGTAAAGCGGATCATTGTCAATGAACGTTTCATCATCAGAGCTAAAGACCTAATTGTCAAAACTTGGGGTTGATACTGAACAACTGGTTCTTCATGTGTCACATGGCATCATACAGTGAAGAGGAAGCAGGCAAATTCAGCTGGTCCTACGTTGATTCGGAACCAACTAATTTTTCTTCAAGTGGGATCTACCTCGAGGTCACAGAAGTGCATTCCCAACACCTCTACAGTTGCATGGGGGTGAAAATCCAGCCAACACAAAGTAAAAATGAATGATTCAGCTTGTCATGATCATTTTCGAATTGTCTGGGTCTAGACAGGTTTGACTGGATGGTCTATCGAGACTGCCTGCAGACGATTTCACAGCGTGTGCTGTCGCAGGAGCAACGCATGCGTGAATTTCCGTACCTGGAGCAAAGATACCGATCCCTCAATTTCCCTCGATATGACACATGAACTACGACAAAAGTGCACAAAGTGAAAGCCTCGAATTCGAAACAAAAAGGGAAAATCGGAGTGTCGCTTCCAGTCATATGGTCCATTACTTGCACGTGCTGAGGATGAACCTTTGTGGATTTTTTTCGAAACAGAAAGTTTGTTCGAACGGACATTGTACTGCGGACAGTGATGATGATGATGATGATGATGATGATGATGATGACGATGATGATGACAGTGATTCAAACCTATAAAGATTTGTTCCGAAAAAGGTTCAATTACATTTATATATGTGAGTACACAGGTGAGTTGACCCCCACCAAAACACCCCTGCAAAAGACTCAACTGTGTGACGGTTTTTGGGATACTGTGGATCAAACCTCGGGTCAACTTGGTCACTTCAATATCACAAACAGTACGTTTGGAACATGAGTAAATTCACAGATCAGCTCTCAGAAATTCACCCCACGCGATTGCTCGAACTACCAGGCTCGTGAATCCGGATCGGGTAAACGTGGAGTTTAGGAAATTTCATCTAATGAATAGGGAGTTGATAGACAGTCATCATGAGGAGGTAATCAAGGTGACCTCCAGCATATTGCCCATCCGCTTTTTCAGGCCGATAATCCTATTTCATGAAAAGGTACGAGTTTTTAGTGGAAAATTAGCCAATATCCATTCCGAATTTCCACGTTTTTCGTCAGAAAGGGAAATTTTAGTTTGACCTTGTGCGACGGTAAGGCGTTGTAACTTAAAGACAGATGAGGTCGAAATTACATGTTTGTGAGAACAAACACGACAACTACCGACATTCGTCTTGCCGGAGTTGAACAGATCAGAGGCTGACCTAAATTCCACACTGGGATGTGACACCATTCGGTTTCGACTGAACAGATAGAAATTTTGGAGGGAAAAGATAGAAACCAGTTAGCAGTTTGACACACACGCTGGTTGACCTGGAATTTTACGGAAAACAAGTTGGTATGGGCAACTTGGATCTAGTCAATGCGCTCAGAAGGCAGTTCAAAATTTGAAATGACTGAAAGTACACTTGTTCAGTTGCTTATCCGGGGTAAAGAATCGAGACTTTGGCGCCTCCAAGACGTATGAGCATAGAGCTAAAACATTCCTGATTTGTACCCCTTTCTCTCTGATCCATCCATTAGAATGCCATGTTCTCTACAAAAAAATCGACGAACCCAAATGGCTAATCAGATCACGAGGCTGCTGAATTCTACCCATCAACTCAACCCACGTCTACCTACTGCCTCCCAACTGTGACAGCAGCCGGCCAGAAGAACACGGGTTTGGTTAGAAAGTGACGAGCACGTCAAACCCAATACTTCGTAGCAGAACGTCAAAAACAATTAATGAACCAATTAGTTACTAATACTACTACTGCATGGAAATTCTCGGGGGGGGGGGGGGGAGCGAGCAGATCTGCTTTTCGCTGTAAATTTTGCTGGATTCCGGCAGAAAAAATTTGGGTAGCATGCATCATTCAATTTTAAAAAAGATAAATCTTCCGATATGCGGAAAAAATCTTGCTTTTGAGTGAATTTCGCTCCCTCCATTCACTCCAAAGCTGGGGCAACAATGTGTTTTAGACATATAGCGTTATCTAATGAATACAGCTAGTGTTCCACTGAAAACAACAGCGACTAGTGCCCACCATTTGTGCGGGAGAGAGAGTTGACCGCATATAAGAACCGTACGCGAGCTAGGCATTTATTGTCGACCAACTCAAAATGACTAAATCGATTAACTAAACTGCCAGGTTGCCCAAGCCTAGACAAGATCATTTGAGTGCCTGGGGTCGGGTTCGAACCACGGATCTTTCGGTCAGTAAGTTCGCAATCTAACCAGTGAACTATGTCGAGCTTCCCCAAGGATGTACACGAGGTGAATAACTTGAGTATCGGGCTTAATCAGGCTGGATTCTGACAGAAGAGGCCTTGTTATCCACAGAATTTCCGCTGAAGAAGCATGGCAATAATCTGCTTTATGTAGCATTGGAAACGTTTATCATTCTCACCACCAAGGGGTCGAGATGGCTCAAGTGGTTAGAGCGCGAATTTACTGACCGGAAGGTCCGTGGTTCGAACCCGACCTCTGCCTCTGGACTTCCCCTGTCTAGGCTTGGGCGACTTGGCAGTATCCCAGCCCTCGTGCCTCCTTCGTGTGGCATGGTAGCTAGGCCCCGAAAGGGTGCTACAGCTGGACGATTCACGGAAGAGCCTCAAAAAGTGTGAACGATTATTATTATATTATAGTTTCCACGGCATTTTCATTTCTTATTAGTGTACATAATTTTGTTATCCTTTAAACGATTCCTGATAAAAAAAAGACAACTCATTTGAGAATTACGGTGGATACAGTGAAACTACGAACT